CTTTCTATTTTCCTCTGCTGGCCATTAGCTTCATTATTTCTCTCCCCTACACCACACCTCTTAAGCAGCCAATGCCATTACATGATTAGCCATATCCATCATGGGAGTTATTCTGTGGTGGTACAGATTTTCAAATTTCAAAATTTGTCCATAGGTCCAAAACTGTTGGAGATCACTATCCTAGAACATATGCACAACCTGCAAACTTAGTTAGCATCTTAGTTATCAACAACTTAACCTTCCCACCCTCAGGAAGTTCAAAAGGCTTGTCACAAACTACTTAAGATCTTTCCACCTCCAAATTCACTATACTGCTGTGCAGAGAAGGAATTTTTCCCTCTAAGCCCTGAGGCTATTATTTTGCTAATATCTAGAGTCTTGAAGCTCGAAACCCATCCAAATCCGCCTCTTGTTCTCCATCACAAGGCCACACCAGAACCCACCTCAGTTTCATCCCTTGAAGGCAGGTACTTCTTCAGCAGTTCTGGCCTCAGGGGTCCAGGAGTGTGAACTTGAGCCCTCAAGGCCTGGAGAAGGCGTCGTTTTTCTTGCTCTGTCCAAACTCGGGCCGTGGGGCCTAGACTATACCGTGCGGGAGCAGAACGCGGCCTCGATGGTGGCTTCATTGTTCTGAGGGAAAAGAAAGAACAAGGCGTAGGAACAGTCGAGGCGAAGAGTCCCTCCACACAATTCTGCCACTTGTTACTACGAAATTTAGTCAGCCCCTTTCTTCACAGCCCCTACCCTTCCAAATACGCCCTTCGGTTCTGCAAAAATAATCAACCCAGCCAGTCACTTATTTTCCGTTAAAAGGTTCCCCCCCACGATGTCGCAGACTGATGACGTATAAGAAAGCGCGACGGCGGCCGTCCGGTACTAGAAATCATGCGGAGAAATAAGCCCCGCCTTATAGGCCAATCGCGGGAGAAAGGTGGTATTAGAATGCTGTGACGTCACGAAGGAGCTTTAGGTAGCGCGGCAACCGTCTTGCTATTGTTGGAATTTTGCGGATTCTGTCCCAGCAGATTACCAAGGCTTCTGTTGCCATGGCGACAGGGAAGGGACGCCCTCCCGTGCTCTGGATTAGGACTGATTGCCCTGGAGTCCGGCTACATGTCTTACCAGGACGCGGTCGGAGTCGTTTTGGGTGTCCTGGTCGTGCTGCTTTGCGATGGGCTCGGTACGAAGAGGGACTGCGGGCAGGCGGCCGGTTCTTGAAGCGGCCTCGCCGCTTGGCGGCGGCGCCTCTTCCCCCGAGGATGTGGAACACATGATGCCCAGAGCGAACAAGCAAGCAGTAAAGCAGGCAGTTGCGGACTGAGTAACAGTGGTACAGCAGGCCAACATCAGAAAGGGAAGCTTTCCCCATCACTGCATCCGCTTGTTGGTGAAACATGCTTTACCTGGGAGCTGCTGTTCGAAAAAACGATTTGACACTAGCCATGGGTCCTTCTGGACAAGGTTTTATTGTGTCGTGGCATTGCCTCCTTCTCCACATTTTATGGAAAATGCCACTGTCCTACACTCTTAACTCTTCTATGTTTGTCTGAGCTTCTTTGATTTCCCCCCCTTATCACAGAATATCCATTAAGGAAAGAAAGAACAGCTGAGCAGTGTCTTTTGATAGATTATGCTAGGCAAGCACCTATAGATCTGGTTTGCACATAATAAAAATGCAGAGCATGGGTTTTGTTGAATTATGGTTTGTCAATGCTGCACTGCAATTTATGTGCTAAGTACAGCACAGAGTCAACAACCCATGGTTCAATAACAATCCACAATTCAACAACCCATACTCAACCCATACTTTGGGTTGTCACTGCATGCATACCAGGCCATAGTCTATTGGATTTGTGTAACAGCTACCCATGCCAGGATTGCTCTGGAACAAAATGGCCATACTTGTCATGGATTGCTTTTATGGAACAATAGCTCTTGCAAAGCTTTAGACTTCAGGTTTGGAGAGTCAGCTTTTTTTCCTTACAAGATCCCTGTAGTTCACCAGTTTGAGTTAAGAGGAAATAGCAGCATGGGGTTCTGGGAAAACAATACAAAACTACATTCAAAAAGGTTATTAGTCACATGATTTTAACTCATTTACTAGATGAACTTATGTATCACCTGGAGTGTCTAATTTTGCCTAATCTTAGAACCTTGAGCAGGGCTGGTCCTGGTTGGAATCTGGAGGGGTGACTTAAAAATTGTAAACCACCCAGAGAGTTTCAGCTATGGGTGGAATAAAATGTAATATAATAACTTACATAGACAAGTACTAATTTATTTTAAACTGCTCTGGGAATTTATTTGGTGAGATAAAATATTTATGAAACATTCAGTATCTAAGTTGCTACAGACTAGGGATTCTAACAGAAGGAACTCTAAAACTAGCTAGCAGGGCTGCACATAAACCCAGTCAAAAGCAGCCAAGCCATCCTCCTATCTTGTATCAGATGAGGCACATGAGGCTGAAAGATAAACATTTAAAACAAAGCTAACTATTGCAGATAACTTTCTGTTAAACAACTGGGAATCAGAAACACTTGCTGATCTGCATGTATTACAAATCATGTAGATCTTGCTCTGTGTTATGTGTACCCCTGTATAGATATCTGAGAACTTTGGGCTTGGTTTCAGATTTCATAGTGCACTCCTGGGAAATGCAGTTGCATGGATAGGGAAGTTCAGCAGCTTGGACAATACTGGTAAACTTCCAAAGATTGCAGCTTGCTGAGATCTTATCTTCTTTTCAGTTTGTGAACTTCTCCCTGAGTTGTATGTATCTGATAATGGAACTTCGGGCTTGGCAGGTATTGCAGAGACATCACCTGATGAAGACATGGGTGAGAAAATAATAAAGATATGTCTAGAAGCAGTGTTGGTTAAATTAGATGTGTAGCATATGTGTAGCATATGATGATGTATCATCATATGATGTGCCATGTGCCATATGCGTTGTAACTGCCCTTCACCCATAGTTTACCACCAGATTTTAAATAATGTCATTTTCATAGCATTAAACTGGGTCAGAAAATCTCAATATCCCAGTCTATTTATTTCTGTACTGCCCAGTAGCCAAAGCTGTTTGGGTGGTTTTCAACAGTTCATAAAACAATACAGTAAAATAACACAAAATGTTTTCAAAATACAAATGTTAAGAACAAAAACATTTAAGACATCATACAATTAAGAGTAGCTCTGTAAACCTCATGGGATATATAATCACCTCAAGCCTTTTAAAAGTTTATGTATGTATGTCAAAGCCTTGACATAATGGGTCATCTTAACCTGACGCTAAAAAGATGACAAAGTGGGCCTCAGTGGGGAGATCATTCCACAGATAGGGACAAGCATTGAAAATGTCTTCCCCCTTGAGCCTATCTTAAAGTTGGTATTCAGAGGAAGGCACTGGCTGTTGAGCATAGTATCTGGAGAGATTGTGCTTGGAGGAGGCAATCTATCATGTATCAAGGTCTCAACCATAAAAGCCTTTCTAGGCTAAAACCAACACTTTGAATTAGGCCGAAAAGAATATAGGCAGCCAATGCAAACAGTCCAGAACTGGTCTTAGATGTTCATACCTCAAGGCCTCATTATTAGTCTGGCTGCCACAGTTAGCACAAGCCGCAACTTTAGAACAGCCTTCAAGAATAGCAACACACAGAATGCACCCTAATTTAGAGATTACCAGAGTTTATAATACCAAAACTCTGCTGCCACTGTCCAGAGCTGATAGAAGGCATTCTGTGTCACTGAGTCCACTTGAGCCTCAAGTGACGAAGATGGATCAAGGAGAACCCACATGATCCTACTCCTTCAAAGGGAGCAAAATCCCATGCAGAACTGGTTGAACACCCTCTGTCCACTCAGAGGAACCACTTTCTAACAGTGCATTATCATATTATACTGATTATGCACTCACCTGAAATGTTTTAAGTTAGGTTACCCCAAGATGATCTAGTCACATCCAGCTCACTTGAGGGTGGCTAGAGCAGTCCTTAATCTTGAAAAGAATGATGACTGCTCTAAAGTAGGGGAAACCTTTTCCACTTAAAATGGCAAAGATGATTGTGGTACATTGGTCTCCCTTTGCATTGCAGCAAAAGCAACAACGCTGCTCCTGTTAGAAACTGCTTTATATCAGGTAAATCTGTCCTCCTAGCTCATTATTGTCTACTGACTTGCAGTTGTTCTCCAGGGTTTCAGGCAGAGGAATTTTTCCTTGTCTGCTACCTTATTTTTCGAACTAAAGTTGCAGGGGATAGAACCTGGGACTCGTAGATGCAAAGAACTGCTGAGTTATGATTTGTCTCTCTGAATGAAAGAAAGAAAAGCTGCAGATTGCCCACAGAAACAGCAAGGTCCTTGAACCCACAGTTTTCGCACTATGGTCTAAGTTAACTTGGATGATAGATGTTATACATGTGCCTGTTCATGCAGATCCTAACTAAGCACTTTCTCTTTTTACCAACCCTACCAACTTGGACCAGTGCAAAACCAATTCTTTTCCTGATTGACCCTAGGCTGTCAATTCTTTCAGAGCCTATTTTTGTCCATGTTGGTGCCCAGAAAGTCACAGTACCCTGCAAGCCTGCAAAGATGGATTTTGTGATTGGTGTGAATCCCACCTACAGCTGGACACGAGAAGATGGAGGTTAGGCCTTGCTGCTTGAGATCCTAAGTTTCTCTATAAATGCCAGGGACAGATATGTAAGGAAATGAAAGGGAGGGAAGTGAAAAAGCACCTATGCCATGGTTGCTAACGATTCTTTACCTTGGCCAGTCTTGGGGCCATATCCAGCTCGTTTTTTGCACCCCAATCAACTTGAATTTTTGGGCTAAAAAAATTGTTTTCCAAATATGTTATGGCAGGAATGAGTTCCATCTCTGTGTAGTTTTGCTTTAGGCAAGAGTCCTGCTGACCACATTTAGATTCATCATTGGTCAGATAGATATAAATTACACGTTGGAGAGACATATTCAATCCCTCAAGCCAATTTCCTTTTCCTGGAAATAAATACAGAGAGTCAGCAATTAAGTTACTGGAAATAGGAGCAGAGGGAGCCCTTTTATGAATTCCCCCTGCTACTGCTACATGGAGGCCATGATTTGGCTAAAATCATTGAGGGGGGGTCACATCAGTGGGAGGGATTTGTTTCATTATCCCCCCCCCACATACTCTTAATTCAAGCATGTAGAGGCATATCAGTTCTTCCCACATGTGAAACCCAATTTGACCAGAAAATGGTTACCTTGGGAATTCAATAGATTATGTCATGCCTCATTCTTTGCAGCATATATTTTAAAATGCATATCATGGAAAATGTAGGAGTAGCTGCCTTGAATATTAATTTTGTGAATGAAATTGACATGCCTACAGAATTTTCTGTGTCACAGACCATCTGACCCTTTAAGAGCTCTGTTGCAGAAAAGTAATGACCAAAATAAACTGTGAGAGAATTTACGACACAACTTGTGAAATAGCAGTAAGATCTCTGCCTTGATTACAAGTGCAAGGCGGCTGATGTATAGTTTCTATAATAGGATGTGTTATAGAAAGTTGGGGCTCAAAAAAGGAATATATATGGACATCAACAGCACCAGATTAGCAAGAAGAATAGGACTGAGTAGACTGATGAGACTAGAACCAGAGGGGTTGAATTTCCATGTGGAACTTGAATGGTGGTAAAGGGATGAGGATTTGTCTTGAAGTCTTTTTACTAATCTGGTTGGTTGGCTAGCTTATCCTTCTCAGACTGTGTGACTCTGTCCTCTGATTCCAGAAACCTCCTCTGTCAGTGGTGATGCTTTTCTTACTCTACCTAAGTTTCATGCTGACGACAGTGGACACTATGCCTGCACTGTCTCCTTCCAAAAGGAAGGCCAGACGTATACCAAGAATTTTTATCACACAGTGGTGGGTAAGTATATTCTTTGCCATCCTGGAGCACGGAAAAAATATGTGAGGCTGAACATTATGCTTTTAGGAGTGAGTGGCAGGGGACTTACTGATTTTGATCCACATGTTACCATGCTGGAACGAAGAAGCTGTGGAGGGTACTTACTTAACTAGCCAGGAATATGAGAAAATTGTGTCTGCAGATATATAGTCTTTCTTGAGATCTAAGTCAGCCTT